CAGTATTAAATACGTATAATTAGGTTAATTCATGCAATATACCAATTACCTTCTTCATTACCTCTGACCTTGGTGCAGAACTGACTAATTACAACTACTCTGCTCATATATAATTATTCTGGCTTATGTTGTAAATGTACTTTCACCGCAAATAAGCGATACCGCTATTTTCTTATTGTATACAATATAATAATCCTTAATAACTAAATTGTTTTTAGATTCTTATTATAATAGTGATACTCTCCTGTGACAATCTAGAGAATGCAGGAGAACAATTAATTGATACTCTCTACGAACAGTACTACAAAGAAACCGATGAAAAAATTAAGTCTGAAATTATTACTTTGATGGAATACACCGAGCAGTGGAGACCTATTTTTACAGCGGCTGGGTTTTTTAATATAAATAAAAAAAGTGTTGGTATTTTCTATTCATCTTTAATTAATTATTTAGTAATCATAATACAATTTCAATTAATGCTGGTTGCCTAGTAATTGAGGTAGGTATTGAAAACTTTATTAATGTTGTTCCAAATATTACGTTTATCCATGTTGTTTCAAATCTTAAGTTGTCCTGTAAATCTCGTTTTCATTATCCCAGTATATAATCTGTAAGTTATTTAGATTTTGATTAAATAAGCATGTACTTATTAAAATACCGCTGGGTAATAGACTACCTTATCAAGCAGAACTATATAAACACACACCATTTCTTGCGCTCGATGCAAAGAATTACTAAGGTGCGTTTAATTAATAATATAACTTGTCTGATAATGTAGAAATTTTGTACCTTACTGGTAACGAAATGAACATTCTGTAGGTGTCATATGTAGTTAAAGAGTTTAAAGTTTATAAAATAAAATTGAAATTGTTAAAAAGTAAGAAATTAATTTAAATAAATTAAAATAAAGTAAATTAAAATGAGAACACACTGTGAGGAAGAAAAATTAATAAATGGAATTAGTAAACAACCCTACATCAAAATCTGAAAAATAACACAGGCGCCTTCTAGACGAGTTTTCTCTAAGTTAAAATAAAACAATATTGATGATTGATATACAGGTGTTTACTATCGCAATCAAGGTATTAAGTATTAACTAAAAAGATGTGAATTTTGAATTGTGTCACTCTTGTAGCAAGGGTGCGATATCTTCTTCATACTTGCATTGCGTCACATGCGTCAAACACCCGACAAAAGTTGAAGCTTATCACCTCGTTACTAGGAATCAAATATTTATAGTATATTACATTACGAGTGTGGAAAGTGACATTTTTCACACGAGTGGGAAATACTGTCGCACGAGGCACAAGCCGAGTGCGACTATCACACGAGTGTGGAAAATAACTTTTCACACAAGTGATGTACAATATTTTTCCTACGACTACAAAATAATGTCATCAAAAAATGTAAAACCAGGTTATTATTACTATAATAATTAAAATGTATTTAAAAAAATAATCAACAATAATCGTATTTATTCAATTTTCATATTTTCTAAACAAAAAAAAAAACTAAAAAAAAAAATAAACAAAAAAAATTCTGGCTCCGCCAGGATTTGAACGCGGTCGCTCGCCAGGTCTCAAATGGCAAAGTTGATAAGTTCGACGTTCTAACCAACTGAGCTAATAGCCCTTACGTCAATTAAATGATCTAATCAGTTATGTATTTAACCAGAATAAAGAGCAAACATATTTTAGTTATTTTAAAATTATTTTAATAATTGTTAAAGATAAATATCTAGGATCTAATTTACAACAATTTCAATAATTTAACAATCATATCGATTTTAGTATTAATATGGACATTATTTGTTTGACATTTTGTGACAGCTACTGCGGAAAGTAGCATATTCAATATTTATACACGGGTGGAAAGTAAATTCTTATTCATACGCGTGTGATATAGGACACTTTCCATAGGACTATATAGTGTGATATGTGTCACTTTCCTAAGTGGTCGTAGGAAAATATTATTCCGATTTTGGATTTTTGATACACATGACATGTCGTTCATTTTACAGATATAATAATATACAATATACATATCCTCCAATTAATTACTTCTTTATTTATCAAATAATAATTAAATATCCCACAGACACTTACTTGAAAGCAGTGACGGCTCGTGGCTTTATTTACGGGTGGGCTGCTCAGTGTCACTACAATTTGAAATAGACCTTGTAAGTTGACTGCTGGTGTCTATATTACTGGGAAATATTGGTTTCTATTCTTGCATGTAAGTTTTAATTTACAAACCTATAGACTTAGTTAAAGTTGCCTGAAAATAGGTCATTGAAATATACAAGGAATGTGAGAGCAAAGGTTCCACCATGGGCCGTGTCACCATGGGATTCATCCAAGTAGCGTTTAACCATCGAAGACGTGGAATGAATGAGGGTGTGAATGGGAAAGTAGTAGGACTTTCAAATGGTGGTACAATAAGCCGCAAAATATTAACCAAATAAAAAGGTGAATTTGGAACACAATACCTGCAGAATTTATTGCAACTTCACTAGAAAATAATACAAGCAAATGTTATTTTGAAAGACTCATGAAATTAAAATAAAAGAAGTTATGAATCATAAGAGCCAATCAGTTCAAGACGAAAAAGGAGCTTACTTTCATCAACGAACTCGTCTAAACAATGTTAGATATTCTTTGATTTACCCATTTATGTATTTTTGATAATTAATTATATATATACAGTGAGCACCATAAGTCTTACCCCCCCTATATAACTCATTACTGGAGTCTTGTTAGGAAAATTGCCGAGACAGGTCGATTTTTGATTTCTACATTGTATATTTCTGTATGATTAGTTTACCCTTAATTTCATCCCTCACTGGAGGGGAGCAACCCTTTCGAAAAATTTAAATGGCATGGGGTGGTGAGTGATAGCTCATTTGAAAGAGGGTTTTATTCTCTATTCAACCATGTAAAAAATTTTGAAATTTGCTTCATTACGTGTTGATTTATTAATGTTTAAAAATAACAAAACCTCACAAAATAGGAAATCAACTGGACTAACAGTGACCTTCTAATGGCAAAAAGTCTTATTTCACGTCTGAACCAAAACCGAAATCATGCAGGGCCGAATTTTAATTCTAAGGATGAGTGCGCTACGTTAATTTCCGTTATTCTGAAACAACAATTAGTCGAGAATTAATGAAGCAAATTTCAAAATTTTTTACACGGTTGAATAGAGAATAAAACTTTCTTTCAAATGAGTTATCACTCACCACCCCATGCCATTTAAATTTTTCAAAAGGGTTGCTTTCCTCCAGTAAGGGATGAAATTAAGGGTAAACTATTCATACAAAATTGTACATTGTAGAAAACAAAAAACGACGTGTCTCGGCGATTTTCCTAACAAGACTCCAGTAATGAGTTAGATGGGGGGGGGGGGGGGTAAAACTTATGGTGCTCACTGTATATATATATACACACACGTAAATAATAAATTATTTACGTGTAATCACACGCACAAAAACGAAAGAATGACGCAAGAGTGTATCTGACTACCACGGGACGGGAGCAGGATGTGGGAAGGACAACCAGTTATTTTAGAGCTTTCTAAATACTTTTGAGGGTATTTAGACTTTAAAATATGTGGCCACAGAGCGGGAAAAGGGGGTACATTAACTTATCATGAAATTTTCAAATGCTTTTCTCTTGAAAATGGTGCGTCCTAGCGAGATGCAACAAAAGTAGCTTTATTATAAATAAAATATTGGTTTTCCAAATTTTATAGTGAAAAATGTTAAAAACTGCCAACAAAAAAAACTTAAGGCAATTTTACCCTAAGCCCCTCCTAATTTACCCACCTATGAAGATGATCAAAAACTGGGGTTTAGTCCATTAAATAGAACGTAAAAAGGTTAGCATTTGTACCAAATTTCACTTAGTTATCTTTAAACGTTTAGAAAATATTTACAAAAGTGTGTAATCAGGACTTCACTTTTAACACCCTGTATCTCGGAAAAGAAACGTTTTTGGACCTATGTTTATATGAACGTTTACTCTTATTTTAGGGTATAGATTACGCTGTTAAAATATGACCGTCTAATTTCGGGACACCCTGTAATTTTACTGAAAAATTCGACCGCAAAAGTAAAATAAAAATAGTAAGTTTTTTTAAATTTTTATTCTTTAAGCACAATTTAAAGTTAATTAGGGTGTTTTTTTTTTATTATTTTAAAGACAATCAACTTTTAAATCACCCTATATAAATAGATGGGTTTAGAAAATAATATAATATGTGATAATTCATCGATATTTTTTCTGTACCCAATAAAATTGTTGGATAATGTATTTTGTATTTGAATAATATCATGTGCATGTGCATTATTACTTTTTATGAACAATAGAACATAAAATTTTTAATATTTCCTTAGCACGATATCCAGTTATTTAAAAAAAATAGGTTTTATTAAAACTGATAATTTACATTACAACACAATGAAGTCTAAAATCCGAACGACAAATTTCAGAGATAAAACTGAATTAGATACTCATTGCATAAACGATGATTATTTTGTGTTAATGTGGTTTTTGAAAATTGGAAGTTATGTCACAATTTCACCTAATATTTGGAGTAATAAATTACCTCAGACAGTGTGTCGATACATTTGTAATATAACATTTCTAATACCCTACACTCTCATATATACTATAACACTATATTTAGAGTTTCTTGATTTTAATTTATCCACATTTACTAATATAGAATGGCAACTAATGGTTATTCTTGTATCCATTTGTTTTTTAAAGAATTCTTTTAATTCGAAAAAGTTGCACTCATTTTTTAAAAAAATTGGAAAATTGGAAAATTATTTGAGAAAGCTTAATTTCGTATACTCCAAAAATATTTTTAAATTGTATGTATACGTTATTTTCATATGGATTGTTAATTTGATTACTATTATTATAAATGCAATATCATCATATACTAATTATTCATCTTTGGATTCTCTGGATATTATTTGCACTTCCTATCTTGTCTTTTATATAACAGTAATATTTACATACATGTTCTATGTAACAAATCTCTTTATCGACAGATTTAAATTTATCAATATTAAAATTTTCAATCTAATGAGCGATACATCAAATTACTCGCACAATTTGTTTTATATTAATAAGTTTTTGAAAATAACAAGTAAAATTATTAACGAAATTAATAAAAACTTGGGATGGACACTATTGTTTTGTCAATTCGGTGTAATTGGGTTTACGAATGACGTAATTGAAATGTTGATAAAAGGATCTGAGAATTCATTTCTTTTACTTTTTTATTTATTGTTTTTTTTGGTAAGTAAATAGAAATTTTGTTTTTTTTTTAATTTCACTTACACAGGGCCCCCGCAACTGCGCGTGCAACGCGTGCACCGCACGCGGGCGCACCTCTAAAGGAGCGCCAAACCGGAAGTCTGTATACAATTCGAATTTTTAATTTTTCTAACGATTCCTATGAACAAGGCACTAAGACACTAAAGAAATCAAAAATGTTTTTATCTCAATTCATTGTTTTCATTACCTGAAGCGTCAAATCCCCTCGACATTTTACAATATATATTTAAAAACAATCTAACTTCATATCTACCAAATATCATTTCGATAAGAATCCTGCTTACTTTACCTGTATCTGTAGCTTCTGGTGAGAGATCCTTCTCAAAATTAAAAATAATTAAAAATTATTTGAGGTCTACCATGTCACAAGAAAGATTATCGGGTTTGGCAATCTTAGTTATAGAGCAAGAGATCCTCGGTAAAATTGATTTGACAATATTATAAAAGAATTTGCAGCAGCCAAATCCAAAAAAAAAACCTATTTAATTTTTGAATAATTGAATAATTGAATGTTTTATTTGTTTACTGTTTGGTTTGTTTTTTCGTTTGTAAGAATAAAATATTGGTTTTTGAAATATATGTTGTTTCATTACAAAATTAAAATAAAATGTGGATTCGCAAGAATATTACAGCAAACGAGGAAATTTAAAAAACATATGTAACAGCTTAAAGTTGTTATTCTTCAAAATATTATTTATATAAGTACCTACTACATATATTTAAAGGGCGCCAAAATATTTCCGGCACGCGGGCGGCGATAACCCTTGCGGGGGCCCTGCACTTACAATTAACTCAATCACTTTTATATGTAAACAGTATTTTCAACAAAAAATATAATAATTATGAACATTTTAGGTACTGAAATAAATATTTTATTCTAAATTGCTATTAAAGTTTATTATGAAAATATCAGTTAGTTAAAAATCTTTTTGTTTTATTTTTAGTTACTCGTGGTGTTGATCTCGTTTCAATGTAACAGAGTAGAAAAATGTGGTGAAAAAATTTCCAGAATTTGTTACAAACTGCACTTTTTGGCGGAAGATGAAGCGATTAAACAAGATTTATTTGTATTAGCTATGTATGCTAAACGTTGGAAACCCGTATTTTCTGCAGCTGGATTTAACAATATTAATCAGTCTACTTTAAATTTTCTATTTTTTGCTGTTGTAACTAATTTTGTTATTATATTGCAATTTGGTAACATGACTAACAATTATTAAATAGTTTTAATTTAGTATCGGCTATCGAATGCTGTCCAATATATCTTACAACAAGTGCATGTCATTACAACTATAGAGAGAATTAGCATTAGTGGGAGCAAGAAACGAATATTATCAGCGTTGCCAATTTGTATATGTCCCGACCAATGATACAAAGAGGGAAGGGTGGCGGGGAAAAGGGGCGGAGCAACGTGAAGGTGAAAAATATATTGTCCAGTAGCAACACATTTTCGTATGCAAAAAATAAAAAAATTGTGCAGCTAACAGCAACAGTACAGCTCGCTTCAGGCTTGCCAAAATTTCATGATATGAACAGAGTGTGATCCGAATTCGGCTCGGAGGCCGTATCCTAATAAAAAATGATTAAAATAAACTATTCATACAATAAATATTTCTCTTTATAATTCAAATAAAAAGTTATTCATTTGAAATTTGATGGAAATAATTACATGATTTTTCCATGCCGTTTTGTTTTAATATTTGCTACGTTTGAATATCCACATCCGATGCATTTTTTACATCTCGAGCGTGTGTTTATCCACATCGGACACATCTGTCCCACTACATTTACGTATACTGAATCACGTGATCAAAGATTGCCTACATCTCAGATGCATCCGATGTGTATGAGAGCTCACTGCAAATTACGATCGTCATCTGATAACGAAATGAAAGATGCTCCAAATAAGGTATGTAACAACATTGTACTTTACCAAATTGCACCTGTGCTAATCCCTATTCTGAGCATAGTCGTAAAAAAATTATTTTGTACAATTCTGTTTGCCCTGAAAATTAAAATGCTAATTCATTGTGAACCTAGCTTTTAAACCTGAATTATTAATATTTTTACATACCTTTTAACCATGTGCATGTGTAAAAGGAAGAAGGGTGGCATTGTATAAACCATTTGCAGATAAATAATAGTATATTACACACCGAGGTGGGAAGAGTTTCATTCCTGTCGTGAGATTAATTAGATCACCGAGAGGCGAAGCGTCGAGGTTAGCTATGATCTCGAGACAGGAATGAAACTTCCTACCGAGGTTTGTATACTATTTTATTTACAACCATCATATTTCGATCAAAGTTAATAAATCTCTGTTTTGTTCTGAACATACCTAAAATATTACATTTAACGACAAATTACCAAGCGCGCGGTTTTCTCAGAATAATCAAGTAGGTAAATATATTGTTACTGTGATTACGGGGTAAACAACTGTCACCAATATAAATAAATGTCAGATAAAGCCGGATATTAAATTCGCGAATAATAAATATCAATAAATAATTTATTATATATTAGTTCATTGTTGTTTTTTATTGTTGGCCATTAAATAGGTATTATAAAATTTGTCAAAAAAATGTGTTTTTTTTTTTTTAAATATAAAAAATATTAATCTAGAATAATAGATAAAATGAGGGCGGGAAGTGAGGGCGGGAAGTAGAGGTGTGTAATATGACACTTCCCAACCTTTAATAACGTTAGTAATGACAACATTACATGTATGGTTGTAAATAATAATTATAAACTCTTGTTAGACAATTATTTTAAACCATAATCATATTAATCATAGTAGTTTTTTGTCGTTTCTATGGCAACCTGTAAAAATGAATCACAACAATAGGCATACAAATACATTTTTAAATAATAATCGTGGATAGATGCTTTTGTGTGATGTTAAGAGGGAGAAAATGTTTCATTTTAACAATATGTATGAGATATATTTGAATATGTTATTTTCTGGAAAACTTTAAGGACAAACAAAATTTGCGCTGTCATGCCTTATGTGATTTTTTTAATATAAAACAATTTTCTAACCACTTAGTTCAGGATTAGGAATGGCACAGATGCACAATGTTGTTAAATGCCTTTGGAGCACGTTTCATATCGTTATCAGATGACGGTCGAAATTTGCAGTAGGCTCTCTTACTATAATTATTTTAAATATCCCGAAAAACAATGGACAGTATGCCGTGTTGCCAGAATATTTTTGTGTTAGGTACTAGATTTATTTAAGAAATGTACTAGATTTTATAAACTTGAGAATCCACATCGGATACATTTTTTACATCTCGAGCGTTTTTTCATCCACATCGGACACATCTGTCCCATTACATTTACGTATATTGAATCACGTGATCAAAGATTTACTTACATCTCAGATGCATCCGATGTGGATTCTCAAACGCGGCAGTAGTACGCACTTTGTACTATAATTCCATTTTTTTTATATATACAACAATTTGTAAGATTCACAAATCATAATATACCAAAGGTTTTTACAATTTATTGATACTGATCACTCTACTGATAACTCAAACAATAGATTTAAAAAATCTGGAATAGCACTTCCAGCGCCATCTAATAGTTAATAATAAAATGATCCTGAAATCATATATTAGCAAAGAATATTAGTAAGGGGGATTACATAGATAAATTAATATTAAAAGATAAACCGTTTAAATGCACGGCACTGGTAACAAGTGGTAGTTCCCAGCCATACTACTTGGAGCCACCGTCGCAAATAAGATGACAGCGATGTTGTCAGTTTCCATAAACTTTCATGAGATTAGAGTTAATTCAAACGCATAAGCTGCACCTTATTTTGTTTTTGTCGTGCTCGATACCATCCATACAATGGCCATACTATTGCTGAGATATTTTAAAGAGAGGTTTGGCAACTGTGTTGATAACCTCGTTAAAAATAAAGAACGGAATGGCGGAAGACGAAATAGTCGAAAAATACACAAAAACCGTCATAAAATAAAAGTTATTATGATGTTGTGGATATAATTATCCTTCGATAGGTAAGTTATTATTAGGTTAAGAAGATTGATAAGTGCTGATTTGATGAAATTAGTAAGTATTAACAATATAATTTAATAAGGTGTTAGATTTGTTTAAGGTCTTTGTTTATCATTGTTTTATTATAGCCTTAACGAAGTATAATTTCATTTTGGATCGATTTTCAATTCTTTTTTAATATACCTATTTGTAACAAAACATGTCTGGCCCTGGTAAAATTAAGTAATCTTTTTCAGCCCCTTAATTTAAATAAGTATTATTCTAATATTCAGCAGGCTGGTTATTCAAATAAAACCTTTTTTCATTATCCTTCCGATATTAAAATTCGTGAAAACTGTTTTAAGAATTTACATTTATCTTTAGATAATAAAATTCGCTATCTTTTTGAAGATCATTTTTGGCCAGATTCTTTTAGTAAAATTGCTTCAAAACATAAACGACTAATTGCAAATTCTGTACCAATTTTATTAGCTAATAGTACATCCAGTTCAACTATACTCAATACTCAACCCAAACAGTCAGATTTTAGAAAATGTTGAGGATGAAGCACATAGGTACACAGTAGCATAAGATAGATTTGCTAATCTGCAACGAAAAACAAGAAATGATTTGCAAACGTAAACTTAGTATTAGTGATAAACGATTTGAACAACCCTCTGTTAAAAATGAAAAGTAATTTTCAAACTCAAATTTGTTAGATCAACTAGAACAGATTAGTTAAAATATAATTCAAATCGACCATTGCACTATGAGAAATAAACTGAAAGTTTTCTATAAACTAATTTTAGACAAATTAAAAATATTTTTTTTTTATAAGAAAGGGCAACATTTTGATAAGAAAAATTGTTTAATAAGATGTAAGTATGTACACTTTTTTGTTTTTATAGGAAACCCCTGACACCTGCATCAAAATTTGGTCCAGTTTTCCAAGAACGAGAGGAGAATACTATTAATTCCACTTACAGTTGTTATTTGTACATGTTCTGTATGTAATAAATGTTTTAATGCACCTTACTTTTATTAAATGATTAAACTATACGTATATACCTATTGTTTCAAATATTTTCATTTATATTTTTTGGAGTTTTATTACTTAAAAAACTAATATTTATGTTAAATACAGTATTTTAATGTAAATATTAGTTTTTTTTAAAGTAATGAATGCCAAAAAATGTAAATAAATAATAAAGGACATTTGAATGAGCCGCGTTTAGGCTTGACATTCTTCTTTTTAATTTTCTTCTTTTATGTTGCTCTAACTGTTAAGTTAATCAGCCAAATGTGTAGCGTGCGACGGTGGCTCCAAGTAGTATGGCTGGGAACTACCACTTGTTACCAGTGCCGTGCATTTAAACGGTTTATCTTTTAATATTAATTTATCTATGGGGGATTATCAAATAATAATAAACGACATCCCCTAAGCGAGGGGGACTCCAACAAATTAATAGATAAGTACTATTAACAGTAGTTTACTAGCATTTCAATGTGCAAAAGAGAAGAATGGCTCATGTAGGCATAACATTTGACCCATTAAGATCCGTATTTAGAAACAAAACTCAGTCGTACTTATGTAAGTCGTCCTCACAAAGCACATAGAGGTTCCACGTGAATGACCAAGGTCAAAACCGACAGCTGACATTTTTTATGCTATTTGCTCCAAACTCTAGATGATCCTATCCAACGGTGGGATTCGAACCTGGGGCCTCCCACTCCCTTCAATTTGTTTTTATTTTTGTTTTTATACATCTCAGAGTTTTTTGTTAATTTTTAACTGACTTCAAAAAAGGAGGGGGTTCTCAATTCGTCGTAATATTTTTTTATGTATGTTCAGCGATAATTCTTTAGAAAGGGGGCACTTCAGGGGTGGTCCCACATAAATTTAGTCAAATTCTAATAATTAGTTCCATGAGAAAATTCTCAAACTCTTCATTTTTTATGTATGTTTAGCGATAATGCTTTACCACCTTGTCCGATTTATATGATTCTTTTTTTGTTAGTAAGGGGATACCTCAGGGGTGGTCCCATATAAATTTGGTTAAGATGTAGTGATGACATCTGCATGATTTTAAGGTCGGTTTTTTTTAATTTTTAATTTCTAATACTTATTACTAAATAATATAGGAATTAAACATATTTCTTTTTTCTTAAGTATTGTATTATAAGCGCCCGTACTATAACAGCTTCCAATACAGTT